GGAGGAGATAGAAAGCATCCCTGTGGTCATGCTGCAATCCCTTCTCTTTCATTCCTTCTTCCTGTTGGGATTTTGAGCACAAACCATGGTTGGCCATGTGGGATCCAGGTCTCTTAGCCACTAGGCTATGGGACTGGCCCAGTAATTATGGGGTTCTAAACTAGCTTTTTAAATGATAAAACATGGGTTTTTTTTTGGCTTACAATATTTTTAAAACTAATTTTGCCTGAGGGTGTTTGCACTCACTGGAGAGAGACACAGAGAGAGTGAGATCGAGAGTGAGAGAGAGAGAAAAGATGAGAAAGCACTTTTCACGGGGAAGGGTCATCTCTACCTCCTTTTGGGATTTTAGGCATGCCTGGCATGTTCCTCAAGTCAGCAGGTCTGGAACTTGAACTGTCTAAGTTAACCATGTGGAATCCAGTTGCTTTAACCACCTGGCCATGGACTGGTCTGGCTTACGATTTTTAAACAAGTATGGACAGTGTTTTTCTTCCTAAAATATAAATATCATGAAAAGAAAATGCCCATTTATCTAATATATTAGGTCATTAGGAAAGTCATGTATTTTCCTATGCAAAAATGTGTCATGACTTTCCCAATGACCCAATAAATCATTAATTAAATACTTTTTGAAGATTGTTTCTAGGAAACCTGTCTCATAGTAGTAGAATTCTTTCTGATATTTATCATGGGTAATTCTAGTTTTACTACTTTAAATAGGCTGGGCACTGCCCTTGGTCTTTAGTAGGCATTTGCTAAATGTGTTGGTTTCCATTTTTTCTCTTTGTAATTGTCACTGTATTTAGGTACAAACTATACCTGACTATATTGCTACTTGCTTTTTAGGAGGGAAAATGATTTCAATTACATTTTCTCCACTTAAGGGACAGTAACGTTTTGTCCTTTTGCATCTCTCCTCTGATTAAGCATTTTATCTATTTTATAGAATAACCAGTACTTCAGGCCATCAACACCTGATACCACTTAAGAAATCTAGAGACAAGGAAAGTCTGATTTATGGGAGCTTTGCTTATTTCCAGTTCATTCTCCTTCTCTGTCTTCCACCCCCAATCTTTAGTTTTATGTATTCATTTTACTTATTTTAAAAGTTTATTTATATTTCTTTCATGAATAAGAGAGACAAAGAAAGAGAGAGACAGCACCCCCAGTAGGGTCTCAACAGCCCTGGATCATTGGCATCTGCATGCCGAGCATTCTCAGGGAGGTCTTGATGTGAACCTGGATCCTTCACATATGGGTCAGCTTCACAGAACATTGTATTCTACCACTGTGCCACCATCCAGCCCCTTCAGCTTTTAGTTCTATACTGAGAATAAAATGTAATAACCCATTTGATATAAACTTTCTGAGTATAAACCAATTTGGCACGTTATAATCTTACAATAAAGTAAGCAAAGTAATTTACAATAAATAAATCTTACAATAAAGTAGATGTTATTAAGAAAATCTAAAGGAAAAGAAAATACATTTACAGTATTTATTGAAAAGAAATCAGTGTATAAATGGATCATCACAGTTCCAACTCATGTTGTTCACGTGTCTGCTGTGGTTGAAAGGGCTGAATTTAAGCTCAGTATTATTTCTATTATTATTATTGTTATTTATTTTTTAGGTTTTTGCCATAGAGCATGTACATTTGCTAGAGAGAGAGAGACAGAGAGTGTGAAAATGAGAAATCATGCTCTGGGGAGGAGGGCCATGCTGCAATCCCTTCTCCATTCTCTTTGGGATTTGGGGCACACATGCACATGCATTCAGTATGGTTTTCAAGCTGCCAGGTCCAGGACTCGAACCATGGTTGGCCATGGTAGAATTCAGTGCCTCACTTCACACCACCTGCATGCCTCAAGTTCAATATTTGGATCTTGTCTTACATGTGGAACATGGTTTGGTGTGCTTTGTGCCTCACATTTGAAGAGAGTTGATGTCATAGTTGCTCACGTCATGGTGAATAGTGAGAGTTTGGAGCAGAGCGAGCTGATGCATGGGAGATATCACTACAAAAGCCCCAAATGATGTTCCCTGATCTGTCCTTTATGTGGACAGGCTGCTTACAGTTCTAAACTAGGGGGATGGAATAGGGAAGAGTAATTAATTTTGTACTACTCTTTGTCTAGTGTTTAGAAGAAGATTTATTGGGAATGATTGTTAATATGTGTACAATGCTTTGAACTCATTTTAAAAGCCTTGGTATGTTCATGCTGTTTTTCCACATTATAAAACCCTGTGCATTTGTTGAATTTGGGATGAGGAAATCAACCTTGGCATATCAGAGTTGGATGCCTTGGTGGAGAAAAAGGAA